TATCCAATGCCCTCACCGTCCGTAGCCATTTTGGCTCAAGGCCAGGTCCGCCCGATTTCGGGCGCGCGGGACCCAGGATGGCGCGGGATGGCGCGGAGTGCGCGCCAATGCGTTCGGCGGCCCAGCGTGCTGCGGGACGGCAGTGGGCTAAGTGGTCCGCCGACAACGCCGTGCGGCGGCTGTCGGGCGAGTTGGGGAGGACTCGGGCCCGTCTGGAGGCCGCGGAGCAGGCCTTGGGCGCGGTCATCGGGGATGACGAGGTGGCCCATAGGCCGCAGGCGATGCTCCCCGCGCTGCAGGCCACGCTGGGCGGGTGGACCCCATCCTGGCTCGAGCGCCTGCGCCGCAACGTCGCCCTCCATGCCGAGGCGCAGGGCATGGACATCGTGGCGGCCAGCGCGGCGGAACTACGTTCTGCGCAGCGGGGACCCCGGCTGGAGCGGCGCGCGGCGGCCGATGGCGCGCTGAGGGCGGATGCGCCTCCCTTCGTCCCCCTCGGCCCCATCGGCGCTGGCGCGCCTGGCGGCGGCGTGCCCCACACGCCGCACGACGCCAACCAGCTGCTGGCGGACCTCATCGCCTACGCCGCCCCCATGCAGGAGGCGCTTCTCGGCGAGGGTTGCCAGCACGCGCAGACCGACGGCATCGACACGGAGCTGGAGGCCGCCTACGGCGGGAGCGGCGGGCCGCAGCTCGGTGGCCCCCAGGGCGCTGCGGCCGCCCGCGCCCGCGACCTAGCCGAGCTCCACGACGCCTTCGTGGAGGAGGTCTTCGTGTCGGCGAACGAGGCCTTCGGCGTCCAGGACGACCTGAACCAGCTGATGGCTGATCTGGCGGCGGAGCTCGGCGGCGAGGCCGACTCCAGGTACGCCGCCGCGGCGGAGCCCGGCTCTGGGACAGGTGGATTCAGCCCACCGAAGTCGCAGTCCCAGGGTCGCGGCGAGTTCGAGAAGCCGCACGACGCGGAGGTGAACGCTGCTGGCATCGCGGAGCTCGACGCGCTGTATGCCGCTGCTGGGGGCACGGCGCTGGTGCACGGCAGCGGCGCGCGGGCCCGCGGCGGGGTCGCCCAGGAGGCCACCCTGAGCGGCGGCACTGCAGGCACCTCGGAGCCCATCGGGCTGTCCGAGGGTGCTGGTGGCGAGGTGCTGCCGCAGGCGCCCGAGGGCACGAACAGCAGTGTGGTTGCTGCAGAGGCCGTGGCTGAGCAGGGCGCCTGCGCGGACCTCTCGGCGGATGACCAGCGGGAGCGCCACTCGGAGCCGAGCCCGACCGCGCCCGAGAAGGCCTCGGGCCATGGCGGTCGGCATCGGGCGAGCTCCGAGGCGCGACGTCAGCCCTCCTAATGGACCTGGAGGCGCAGCTGGCGGCCGTGTGGGCGCGCGGGTAGCCTCGGCCTGCCGCCCCCTCTTCCTGAATGCATGCATGAACCCCCTGCGCGCGCGCAGGGCCTACAGAGATAAAAAAATGCCCTCGCCGTTCCGTAGCCATTTTGGCTCAAGGCCAGGTCCGCCCGCTTTCGGGCGCGCGGGGCCCAGGATGGCGCGGGATGGCGCGGAGTGCGCGCCAAAGCGTTCGGCGGCCCAGCGTGCTGCGGGACGGCAGTGGGCTAAGTGGTCCGCCGACAACGCCGTGCGGCGGCTGACGGGCGAGTTGGGGAGGACTCGGGCCCGTCTGGAGGCCGCGGAGCAGGCCTTGGGCGCTGTCATCGGGGATGACGAGGTGGCCCATAGGCTGCAGGCGATGCTCCCCGCGCTGCAGGCCACGCTGGGAGGGTGGGCCCCATCCTGGCTCGAGCGCCTGCGCCGCAACGTCGCCCTCCATGCCGAGGCGCAGGGCGTGGACATCGCGGCGGCCAGCGCGGCGGAGCTACGTTCTGCGCAGCGGGGGCCCCGGCTGGAGCGGCGCGCGGCGGCCGATGGCGCGCTGAGGGCGGATGCGCCTCCCTTCGTCCCCCTCGGCCCCATCGGCGCTGGCGCGCCCGGCGGCGGCGTGCCCCACGCGCCGCGCGACGCCAGCCAGCTGCTGGCGGACCTCATCGCCTACGCCGCCCCCATGCAGGAGGCGCTTCTCGGCGAGGGTTGCCAGCGCGCGCAGACCGACGGCGTCGACGCGGAGCTGGAGGCCGCCGACGGCGGGAGCGGCGGGCCGCAGCTCGGTGGCCCCCAGGGCGCTGCGGCCGCCCGCGCCCGCGACCTAGCCGAGCTCCACGGCGCCTTCGTGGAGGAGGTCTTCGTGTCGGCGAACGAGGCCTTCGGCGTCCAGGACGACCTGAACCAGCTGATGGCTGATCTGGCGGCGGAGCTCGGCGGCGAGGCCGACTCCAGGTACGCCGCCGCGGCGGAGCCCGGCCCTGGGACAGGTGGATTCAGCCCACCGAAGACGCAGTCCCAGGGTCGCGGCGAGTTCGTGAAGCCGCACGACGCGGAGGTGAACGCTGCTGGCAATCGCGGAGCTCGACCGCGCTTGTAAATGCTCGGACGTGGGGGAACGGCGCTGGTGGGCGGCAGCGGCGCCGGCCCGCGGCGGGTATCGCCCAGGAGGGCCGCCTGACGGCGGCGCTGCAGGCAAAGGGCCACGGCCAATGGTGTCCGAAGGGCTGCTGGGGTCGAGGTGCTGCCGCAGGCGTCCGAGGGGCACGAACAGCAGTTGTGGTTGCTGATGCGGCCGTGGCCGGCAGGAACGCCGAGCCGGGACCTCGCCAGGCGGGTGACCTGCGGGAGCGCCACTCGGAGCTGAGCCCGACCGCGCCCGCGAAGGCCTCGGGCCAATGGCGGTCGGCATCGGACGAGCTCCGAGGCGCGACGTCAGCCCTCCTAATGGACCTGGAGGCGCAGCTGGCGGCCGTGTGGGCGCGAGGGTAGCCTCGGCCTGCCGCCCCCTCTTCCTGAATGCATGCATGAACCCCCTGCGCGCGCGCAGGGCCTACATACATAAATGCCCTCGCCGTATCGGTCCAGGGTTGAGGGCAGCCGAGAGAGAGACAGAGAGAGAGAGAGAGAGAGAGAGAGAGAGAGAGAGAGAGAGAGAGAGAGAGAGCCGCTGGCATTGGCCAGGGCCAGCCGGAGCCAGGCGTGGCGATTCTATCTCGATCCGGTGCGGGACGATTCGCTTGAGATCCGATTCGTTTCCGATCCGATCCAGTTTCGAAATTTGATCCACCTCAGGCTTCCTTCGGACGGGGCAAGGACGAGGGCAAATCCGTTCCAGCTCGTTCCGGAACGCTCTGAGAAGGCCGCGGCGCCCGCGAGGAACGCTCTGAGAAGGCCGCGGCGCCCGAGACATTTTCCAGAGTTGCCAACTCTCAGAGGCTCCCGACCTACATCGGTCCGATTTTGCCTCGATTCTGCCTTCGCTTGAAATTTGATCCGGCTCAGGCTTGCAGGAAATGCGTCGATGGCGCTCGGCCACCCCCCGCCCGTGCCAGGAGCCCTCGGACAAGCGGCGGGCGCCGCTGGGCGACGGCTCACCGGCGGCCGCCCAGCCGCCGCAGGGCCCGAGGCGCCAGGGGCGGCCGCAGCCGGCGAGCCCAGAGATCCAACGTATTGACCAATCAAGGCGTTTTTTGTTTGTTTGTTTGTGTGTGTGTGTGTGCGTGCGTGCGTGCGTGTGTGTGTGTGTGTCTGTATGTATGTATGCATGTATGCATGTATGCATGTATGCATGTATGCATGTATGCATGTATGTATGTATGTATGTATTTATGTATGTATGTATGTATGTATATGTATATGTATATGTACATGTATATGTATATGTATATGTATATGCATATGTATATGTATATGTATATGTATATGTAGATGTATATGGATTTGTGTATGTATTTGCATATGTATATGTATTTGTATATGTATATGTATATGTATATGTATACGTATATGTATATGTATGTATGTATGCATGTATGTAGGTATGTATGTATGTATGTATATATATATATATATATATATATATATATATACATATCTATATATAAAAAAAATAGGTATGAATTGTATGCATATATATATATATTGTAATGTAATGTCCATGCCTGCATGTATGTAATGCAAGCATGCATGTATGTATGTATGTCCCTCCGAAATGTAGGTAGGTATGTAGGTAGGTAGGGTAAGGTAGGTAGGTAGGTAAACTGTATGTGATGTATGTATGTACTTATGTATTTAGTATGCATGTCATGCATGTAGCATGTATGCATTGTATGCTGTATGCATGATGCAATGTATGTATGCTGTATGCATGTATGTAAATTATTTAATTATGTATGTCTGTAGTGTGTATATATATATATATATATATATATATTGCTAAGGACTTACGGCTGGTGCCGCCGACCCTGGAGGCCTCGGCCCTCGACGGAAATGTGAGAGGGCGGGCCAGGGGCCCTAGGAGGGTCGTATTCCCACCCGGGACCAACCCCCTGGATCACCCCCCGGGACACCCTCCCCGCCTCCGCGCGCGGGGAAGGGATCAGAGGGGAAGGGCTACTGGGGGCGAATCCGCCGCCGCCGCCGCCGCCGCCGCCGCCGCCCGCCGCAGCCGCCGCCGCCGCCGCCGCCGCTGTCCGCCGCCGCCGCCGCCGCGCCGCCCGCCGCCGCCGTCCGCAGCCGCCGCGCCGTGCGCCCGCGCCGCCGTCGCCCCCGCTGCCGAATCGCGCCGCCGCAGCCGCTGCCGCCGCAGCCGCCGTCCCGGCCGCCGCCAACGCCCCGCCGCCGCGCGCAGCCGCCGCCGCCGCCCCGCCGCACGCCACACGCCGCGCCACCGCCGCAGCCGCCGCAGCCGCTGCCCCCGCCGCAGCCGCCGCAGCCGCCGCCGCCGCAGCCGCCGCCGCCGCCGCCAAGTGTACCCTGTATTGTTGTTTTGACACGGATGGTGAGGGGAGGCCGCATCGGGTTCGCTGCGCATGCTCCGAATTTGGAGGCAGAGTGTGTGTTTGCATTGTTTTTTACAAGGGACGGTGGGGGGGGGGGCGCATTGTCCCTGGTTGGCTCCCAGTCGCATGGGGGAAGGGTGTATATTAATTGGGAACAGTGATAAACCGTCTAGATAGCAAGCCGTCTAGCTCACTCCCACCCGCCCTCTTAACACATAAGTGCCACCCGCACCCGAGCCTCGGCATGTTCAGCGGTCGTCGTTGGATGGGCAGCTATTGGGGACCTAAACCGAGCCCATGTGCGCGATGCTGGGGCGAGGTGCGCCATGCGTGCCAGGAACGCCACGCGCACCAGGCCCCCCTGGGGCTCGATCGTGCCAGGCATGCCAGGTGCGCCAGATGCGCCACGTGCCTCCGCGTGCGCCACGTGTGCCGCGTGCCCCAGCCGCGCCAGGTGCGCCACTTCCGGGGCACGTGCAGACTGTGTCAGGTGCGCCTGCGCACGTGACAGCACACATTTGGAAACATGCTGGCCCCCCACCATCCATGTCGAAAGCCAATACCCGTCATTGTGTTTGGTGGACCTGCGCGCAGCAGGCCATACGCCGCCACTTGACAATGATCTCGGGGTGGCCGCGCGTGATCCAGATTTAGCCGCTGGGTGCATTTTGAATTGTAAGGTTTCTTGTCAGCGATGGTAGCCCCGCGCGCAGCAGGCAACATGCTGACCCCCGCCGCCCTTGTCAAACAGCAATACAGAGTGCTCTCGGGCTTCACGAACATGACTCCAGACTTTGTGTTGTGAATGTTTTTTTTCCCCACATTCTAAGTGGGGTTCTGATTTTCTCTACACCCGCGTCGCACCCGCGTTCACTCACCTCCCCTTTTCTACACCCGCGTCACACCTGCGTTCCCACCTCACTTCCTCCTTCTCGCTCGTGCACACACCACACCACACCACGCCACATCGCACCACACCACACCACGCCACACCACACACCACCACACCACAGAGAGTGCGCAGAGGGTGGTCCGTCAGCGCAGCCTCTATCCGTGACGCGCTCGCAGATCGTGGTAGGAGCGGCACTTTCTCGACACCAGAGGGGGTGCGCAAAGGGTGGTCCCTCAGCAAGGCTTCTATCCGTGACACGCTCGCAGGGCGTGGCAGGCGCAGCACTTTCTCGACACCACTGGGGGGGGCGCAAAGGGTGGTCCCTCAGCGGGGCCTCTATCCGTGACACGCTCGCAGGGCGTGGCACTTTCTCGACACCACAGGGGGTGCGCAGGGGGTGGTCTCTCAGTTCGGCCGCTATCCACGACACTGGCGCAAAGCCTAGCAGGCGTGGCACTTTCTCGACACCACAGGGGGTGCGCAGGGGGTGGTCTCTCAGTTCGGCCGCTATCCACGACACTGGCGCAAAGCCTAGCAGGCGTGGCACTTTCTCGACACCACAGGGGGTGCGCAGGGGGTGGTCTCTCAGTCGGCCGCTATCCACGACACTGGCGCAAAGCCTAGCAGGCGTGGCACTTTCTCGACACCACAGGGGGTGCGCAGGGGGTGGTCTCTCAGTTCGGCCGCTATCCACGACACTGGCGCAAAGCCTAGCAGGCGTGGCACTTTCTCTACACCACAGGGGGTGCGCAGGGGGTGGTCTCTCAGTTCGGCCGCTATCCACGACACTGGCGCAAAGCGTAGCAGGCGTGGCACTTTCTCGACACCGCACGGGGTGCGCAGGGGGTGGTCTCTCAGCTCGGCCGCGATCCACGACACTGGCCAAAGCCTAGCAGGCGTGGCACTTTCTCGACACCACAGGGGTGCGTCAAGGGTGGTCTCTCATTCGGCCGCTATCCACGACACTGTCGCAAAGCCTAGCATGCGTGGCACTTTCTCGACACCACAGGGGTTGGGCAGGGGGTGGTCTCTCAGCTCGGCCGCTATCCACGACACTGGCGCAAAGCCTAGCAGGCGTGGCACTTTCTCGACACCACAGGGGGTGGGCAGGGGGTTGTCTCTCAGCTCGGCCGCTATCCACGACACTGGCGCAAAGCTTTGCAACCGTGGCACTTTCTCGACACCACAGGGGTGCGCAGGGGTGGTCTCTCAGCTCGGCCGCTATCCACGACACTGGCGCAAAGGCTAGCAGGCGTGGCACTTTCTCGACACCACAGGGGGTGCGCAGGGGGTGGTCTCTCAGCTCGGCCGCTATCCACGACACTGGCGCAAAGCCTAGCAAGCGTGGCACTTTCTCGACACCAAAAGGGGTGCGCAGGGGGTGGTCTCTCAGCTCGGTCGCTATCCACGACACTGTCGCAAAGCCTAGTAGGCGTGGCACTTTCTCGACACCACAGGGGGTGCGCAGGGGGTGTCTCTCAGCTCGGCCGCTATCCACGACACTGGCGCAAAGCCTAGCAGTCGTGGCACTTTCTCAGATCACCACAAGGGAGTGCGCAGGGGGGTCTCTCTCAGCTCGTTCGCTCCGAGGGCTCAGAACGCATGATTGTGCATATATAAATAAATATTATGTAATAATAAATAATATACATAGAGATAAGGCAAACACAATAAGATTTTAAATTAAGTATGTGGGGTTCCTCGGTGGCGTAATTGACAGGGATGGTTTGGGGTGCCCTCGTGGGATCCTCATTGTTCCTGGTTGGCTGCACGTCACCTGGGGGAGTGGGTGTACATATCTGAATAGGGAACAGTGATGAGCCCTTCCCCGAGGGGGAACAAAGGGGGTTTGTCGAGAAAACTCTCCAGACCACCTACGCCCTAAAAGGCTGGTGGGATGCAGGTAGCGTCGATGTTGTGTTGTATCGTATGTGTCTAAGGTGTGCTTCAGCCCGAGGCGGCCGATATAGAAAGGGGATCGCAACGCGCAGCCGACAGAGGCACATTATCCGACGGAGGTAGGTCTGCGGCTGGCGTGGTCGCGCTCGCGTTTCATGGATTCCCCCCGCCCCTGGCTCTCTTCTTGGGCGGCACGGCAGCGTCGGCAAGTCGCGGAACTTGTGGAGGCGGGGCACCAGAGGCAGCGGTTTGGTCATCGTCCCCGTGCCGACCCCGCTCACAACCCACCCGACTTCCCCCACGGACGGCAGCAGCAGCAAGCAAGGAGGAAGAAGTGGAGCCCTGCCTGGGAGCGCTGGCAATGGAGCCAGCGCTGCACGTGCGCCTAAAGCGAGGGCCTGGGTATGTGTGGCGGACGAGTCCTCAAGTCCTGAGGGTCCTACGAGTTGCGAGTGGAGTGACTGAGGCGATTCGAGAATTAGGTGAGCGCCAAAGCGACCAGGGACTCCACGCGACTGGATGTTTTTTTTGTTTGCTGAAAACTCCCGCACTTCAGGGTACAGGTGCTGATACTCGTGGTAGGTGTGGTGGTGGAGGATGAGGACGGCCATGAGGATGAGGGTGAGGATGAGTATGAGGATGCGGATGATGCTGCTGCTGTTGATGATGATGATTATGCTGATGATGATGACGTTGATGCTGATGATGCTGCTGATGATGACGATTATGCTGTTTATGTTGATGATGACGATGATGATCAGAGTGAGGGGGGCGAAAGGTCATTCACTGTCCCTGGGTGCGTGGCTGAGTTGTCATTCCCCGATGCGGATTATTGTTGTTGTTGTTGTTGTTGCTGTTTCTGTTGCTGTTGTTGTTGTTGTTGTTGTTGGTGTTGTCGTTACCGTTGCCAGTCTCGGTGTCGTTGTAGTTGTTGTTACTGGTGTTGGTGATGATGATGATGTTGTTGTTGCTGTTGTTGTTGTTGTTGCTGCTGTTGCTGTTGTTAATGTTGTTGTTGTTGTTGCTGCTGTTGTTGCTGTTGTGTGTTGTTGCTTGTTGCTTGTTGTTTGTTGTTTGTTGTTTGTTGTTGTTTGGCGTACTCCCCCCTACGACCCGGCCCGCGACCCACCCGCGATCCACCCCGCGACCCGCCCGCGACCCACCCGCCACCCACCCGCGACCCACCCCGCGACCCACCCACGACCCACCCGCGATCCACCCCGCGGCCCACCCGCGACCCACCCGCGACCCACCCGCGACCCACCCGCCACCCGGCCCGCGACCCACACGCGACCCACCCGCGACCACCCGCGGTCGGGCCCGCGACCCACCCGCGACCCACCCGCGGCCCGGCCGGCGACCCGGCCCGCGACCCACCCGCGACCCACCCCGCGATCAACCCACATTGCTTTAACGAAAGTCGGCGCCTGCGGCGGACTTTGCTGCATCATTTGCAAAAATTAAGCGCCTGCGGCGGGCTTCTTCCGAGCCTCGAAGAATGCAGACGTCCCCGCCGCCCCCTCACTCGTATTCACGACTGTGGGGTGCTACGCATTGATAGTGCTGCTGATGCTGATGATGATGATGCTGATGATGATGATGATGATGATGATGATGATGATGATGATGATGATGATGATGATGATGATGGCGCTGCTGCTGCTGCTGATGATGATGATGATGTCAATGATGATGTCAATGATGATGGTGATGATGATGATGATGATGATGAAGTTGCGGCTGCTGCTGCTGCTGTTGTTGGTGCTGATTGTGATGATGACGATGATGATGATGATGATGATGTTGCTGATGATGATGATGATGATGATGATGAGCGTGACAATGATTATGATGATGATGATGATGATGATGTCAATGATGTCAATGATGATGATGATGCTGATGATGATGATGATGATGATGATGATGATGATGATGACGTTGCGGCTGCTGCTGCTGCTGCTGTTGCTGGTGCTGGTTGTGCTGATGACGATGATGCTGCTGCTGCTGATGATGATGATGCTGCTGCTGATGACGATGACGATAAATGTGATGGTGGTGGTGATGGTAATGGTGATGCCGTTGATGATGATTAGGGCGAGGATTATGATGATGCTGCTGATGGTGATGCTGATGCTGATGGTGACGAAGATGCAGATGATACTGATGACGCTGCTGCTGCTGATGCTAATGATGATGATTGGGATGATGATGATGATGATGATGATGATGCTGATGATGATGCTGCTGAGGATGACGATGATGACGATGATGCTGCTCACGATGATGATGATGATGATGATGATGATGATGATGATGATGGTGATGATGATGATGATGATGAGGATGAAGATGAGGATGAGAATGAGGATGCTGATGATGATGATGATGATGATGATGATGACGATGATGGTGAGTCTGATGATGCTGATGCGATTGATGATGATGCTGAAACATCTGCTGATGCCAATGATGATGATGCTGCTGCTGATGACGATGATGATGGTGACGATGATGATGATGATGATGATGATGATGATGATGATGATGATGATGACGATGACGATGACAATGAGGATGATGATGCTGATCATGATGCTGATGCTGCTGCTGATGACGATGCTGATGATGATGGTGACGATGATGATGCTGATGCTGCTGCTGCTGATGATGATGATGCTGATGATGATGATGACGATGATGATGATGATGATGATGATGATGATAATGATGATGATGATGATGATGATGATGATGATGATGCTGATGCTGATGACTGATGCTGATGATGGTGCTGCTATGCTGAGGCTGATGTTGACAAGGAGGAGGAGGAGGCGAAGGAGGAGGAGGAGGAGGAGGAGGAGGAGGAGGAGAGGAGGAGACGGAAGGAGAGGAGGAGGAGCAGGGGGAGGAGGAGGGGATGATGAGGAGGAGGTTAGGAGGATAAGGAGGATTAGGAATGAGGAGGAGACGGAGGAGGAGGATGATTAGGAGGAGGAAAGGAGGAGGAGGAGGAAGAGGAGGAGGAGGAGGAAAAAAAAAAGGCAGAAGGAGGCGAGGGGTTGGGGGGGGGGGGGGGGGCGATGCTTCTTACCCCCTGCTCCCCCGATCCGTGGCCCTTTGCTGCCCGCCCCCCCGCGTCTCACCCTGGAGGTTCCCAGAGGTCCCTGGAGGCCTCAAAAAGGCAAACACCGCCCCAATTACTCGGGGGAGGACAGACCTCCTACCCTGACACGTCGATTAAGGAATTGGCCGTTTTCGGTTCGCGAGAGGGCGTCGCGGCCGTCATTTCTGCGGGTCCAGGTCCGTCGATTTCGGTCCCAGGCCGCTTTCACTAAGGGGAGGTCTACTAAAGGGAGGTTTGTCCACCGCCCAATTACACTCGCGTAGGGCATCTACTGCGGAAATCAGAGCGGAAGGGGCCGAACAGTGGTTCACTGTCCCTGGGTGCGTGGCTGAAATGGGATTCCGCGATGCGGATTCCTGTTGAACATTATTACTTCTAAAGAATAATTATTGTTGGGACCCCTGGTGCACGACCCCCCCGCCGCGCCTAGGCCGCAGCCACGTTTTCATCATTTTCGTGAGGAAGTCTCAGGCAAAACGGGTTGGTCCGGATCCGGTTGTTTTGTTACGGGCGGTTTTCCCTCGCAAAAAATAAGCTAAAGTGGACATTTCTTGTTCTAACATAACCAAACTTCAATAATCCCTTGCAAACAATAAGGTAAAGTGGACATTCGCGCGCGCAAGACGAAATCCTTCCAAAACCTTAGTGTTCGTAGCGATTTTAACATAAAAACATCAAAACACCAATGGTTTTTTCAAACAAAATGTCAAAATTTCATCCCGCGCGCTCTTGCGGATTCGTAGGAAACCCAACACTTTTTAAACATTTCTGTCAAACGGGCTTTTGCGAGCAACTTTTTCGAACTTCTGCAACAACGGTTGCGCACCTGCCAGGGCCATCATCCCTGTCAAATAATACCATGCGGGACACATTCGTTTTTTCTTCGCGCGCGCACGCCGTCGTCGTCGGCCGCGGGGCCCTGAATAGTAGCCACGGTCGTCCGCATGCCACGAAGTGAAGTGTCCGAACGTCATAGGGCGGGAAGCTGGGTGTGGGTGGTGGCGAAGAGTCGTTTGGAAATTTGGTAGAGCTTGAACCGGCCCCCCCACAAAGTGGGGGTATTGCCCGCCTCCTATGAAAACCCTGGCACTGGTGAGAACGGAGTGTCCCCACGTGCTAGTAATTGTTGCTGTTGTTGCTGTTGTTGTTTGTTGTTTGTTGTTTGTTGTGTGTTGTTTGTTGCTTGTTGTTTGTTGTTTGTTATTTGTTGTTGTTTGGCGTCGTCCCCCCCCCGGCACCCGGCCCGCGACCCACCCGCGACCCACCCGCGACCAATCCCGCGACCCACCCGCCACCCACCCGCGACCCACTCGCGACCCACCCGCGACCCACCCGCGACCCACCCGCGACCCACCCACGACCACCCGCGACCCAGCCCGCGACCCAGCCCGCGACCCACCCGCGACCCACCCGCGACAGACCCGCGACCCTGCCCGCGACCGACCCGCGACCCACCCTGCGACCCACCCACATTGCTTTAACGAGAATCGGCGCCTGCGGCGGGCTTGTTGTGTAATTTGTAAAAATTAGGCGCCTGTGGCGGGCTTCTTCAGAGTCTCGAAGAATGCAGACGTCCCTGCCGCCCCTTCACTCTTATCCGCCGCTGGGGGCGGGTACGTATTTAGAATGTCAGTAGATCTGCGAGACTTCTACGTATTTGTTGTAGATTCCAGGAACAACGAGTTTTGGGTAATTCAAGTCTGTAGTCTACCCCCTACTCGAAACATTCACTCCCGACTGGTGACTCTTCGGGTTGCGCACGGACAGCCTCCCCCCCAGGTAGTCCCAGCTGGCTTCAACAGGACCCCCGAGCAGCCTAGGGTAGTCTCAACACCTCCGCCGGAGGCGGCGCCGCCGTCGGTGCGCAGGCCGAAGCCTCACCGCCCGATCCAAGAAGTCCGCACGGACCTCCGAAAGTCCATGCCCATGCAGCTTCATATTCTTCTATGCCCCCGATCTTCGATCACTCGCGAGGCACCAGCAGGGGCGCTGCGGCTCCTGGTGCGCCAAGTACTGGCCCAGGTTCGAGCAGCCCAAGAAGCAGCTCCGCATGCAGACCGCGGTGGAGCTGCTGTGGCGCCTGAAGGACTGGGCGGCTCGCCCCCTCGGAGGGGGGGGGCATATTCTCGACGCTTCGCGCGCATCCCCCCCAGTCCTGTGTGTGCGCTTTCTGCCCCTGGCCCTGGCATCCACATTCAGCGCAGCTGCAGCTCACGCGAGGCGCCGCTTAGTCCGCTTAGGCTGTTTAGGTTGTCGACTCTAGTTTGCTGTTGTCAATTAGTAGACCCGCGCCCCGGACTTACGACACGCCGTGTGCGCTTTCGCCCGCGGCCGCGACCAAAAAATAGCATCCCCGCCAGCACATCCAGAAACGATGCCCATGAGAGTTGACGGGGAGAGAGGAGGAGACACACGTAGTCAAACAGCGAGGGAGGCTTGGGAGGCTCCGTGACCATCTCGAGCCGTCTTGGAGCGGTCTTGGGGCCGCTTGGGGCATCGTGGGAGCCATCTTGAGCCAGCTGTGGCTATGTGAGCCATCTTGGAGGTCATCTGAGGCTCTCTGAGGCCGCCCGTGGGCCTCTTGGGGGCCTCTCGGTTGCCTCTTGGAGGACTCTTGGGGCTTCTTGGGGCGCTCTTTGGGGCTTCTTGGGGCCATCTTGGAGGCGGTCGGGGGGGGGGGGTCCTCGATTTCCCTCCTCCCTTCGGGGGGCACTCTCCTCGTGAGGAGTGTCAGACATTGGCCCTCCCAAGGGCCGAAGGACCCTCTGACACATCGGTCCCCCCTGCCCGAAGAGACCCTGCTTAGACCACCTGTCTCCCAAAGGGCTGGTGGGATTAGATGCTCGGTTTTGGGACCTTCCTGGGGCCCACCTAACGGATCTGTTCGACTCAAGTTCGACCCCCGTTTGACTCAAGTTCGATGCAGGTTCGACTCAAGTTCGACTCAGGTTCGACTCAGGGTCGACTCAAATCGACGGACGTTTGACGCAGCTTCGACGCACGAGTGGAGCGAGTGTCTCCGGGAAGGTTCCCAGAGTGAGCATCCAAGGCATAAGGGACAACGTTAGGGGTTGATGGACTGAGAGCGGGTGATGCATCGACCCGCAGTCGCGCATTCGTCGCCGACTGGGGCTCGATGGGCAACGCGAGGCGTTGATAGGCCGAGGCGGGGATGCCTCGACCCACAGTCGCGCATGCATCGCCGACTGGGGCTCGATGGCCCACCCTGCCCAGGAACGCGCGGCTTTGCAATCCGGGGCCCATCGCCGATCTATCGGCGATGCATCGCCGATTCTAAGTCGATGTTTTCCCTGCCTGGGAGGAGGAGGAGGAGGAGGAGGAGGAGGAGGAGGAGGAGGAGGAGGAGGAGAGGAGGAGGAGGCGGAGGAGGAGGAGGAGGGGAGGGAGGAGGAGGAGGAGGAGGATGAGGTCCCAGTCCCCCCCTAACGTGGCCCGTCAGGGGAGGGGGGTAGGGGCCGCGGGGAGGCGTAGTCGAGGATCGAAGGGTCGAGGATCGAGGCGTGGTCGAGGAGGAGCGCGGATCCGTCTCCGTGTCTTCTGGCACGCCTGCGGGGGGCCTCCTCCGGGAGGGGGAGGGGGAGGGGGGGGAGGGGGAGGGTGAGGGGGGGGAGGGGGAGGGGGGCAAGCTAGGTGCGCTCGCGTCATATCTGACGTCCTACCCCTCCCTCCCATCCCTTACCATGGCGCTGATTTTCTCTATCCGCGGACGCGTGTCGTAGCGGACCTGTGGCTCCGCGCGCGCGTGCGTAGTGGGTGGTGGTGCGCGTGCGTGCGTGCGTGCGTGTGTGCGTGGTGTGGTGGTGGTGGTGGTGGTGGTGGTGGTGGTGGTGGTGGTGGTGGTGGTGGTGGTGGTGGTGGTGGTGGTGGTGGTGGTGGTGGTGGTGGTGCTGGTGGTGGTGGTGCTGGTGGTGGTGTGGTGGTGGTTTGTGGTGGTGGTGGTGGTGGTGGTGGTGGTGGTGGTGGTGGTGGTGGTGGTGGTGGTGTGGTGTTGGTGGTCAGGTGGTGGTGGTGGTGGTGGTGGTGGTGGTGGTGGTATGGTGGTGGTGGTGTGGTGGTGGTGGTGGTGGTGTGGTGGTGGTGGTGGTGGCGGTGCGGCGCGGTGGTGGCGGGCGGATGGGCGCGCGAGAAAGAGGCCCGCGCTGGGGCGAGAACGCCATCCTGAACGACGGAGGCCAAACACCGATCCGAAAATGAGGCCCACGCTGCAGCGGGAGCACGATTCGGAACGATTCGGGAGCAGAAATGAGGCCGGCGCCTCAGCGAGAGCAGCATTTTGAAAAAAACGCAAGCGAAAACCCGTTTCCCCGGGAATCCTGTGTGTAAAAAAAAACAGTACGCGGGGGGGTGTCGGATATCTTCGGGACGCCATCAGGGGAAGTGGGAGAGAGTATTTTCATATTGTGTAATTGTGGAGGAGGAGGAGGAGGAGGAGGAGGAGGAGGAGGGGGGGGGGGGAGGGGGAGGGGGTCCTTTGGGGGGGGGGACCCCGGGGGGGGTACTCGACTCTATCTCGGACGGGGCTGGGGCGAGGAGGAGGAGGAGGAGGAGGAGGAGGAGGAGGAGGAGGAGGAGGAGGAGGAGGAGGAGGGGGATATTCCAGGATACTTCGCTACCACAAGAGTGATTAAAAGGCTGAAGCTCAGGATTTGGGATGCAAGCCGCGAGATGTTCTGTCTAAATATTCGCGACCTGACTTCGTTATGGATTCAATGCAGCAAGCCTTTGCTAGACCCCTGAGCTGGTCTCGACCGAACAAGCCGCACGAATTGTAGAACCATGTACGAAGCACAACAAGACATAACCAATTCTGTGAGGGGTGGGCCCAACCTCCAGCGACATGTAAACGCCGTCCTGCTGGCAATCTGCGCAGACGCCCAATCAACGGCCTCGAGAGGCACACGACCACTTTTCAGCCTGGCACAAAGCTCGGGTATGGAACTCGACGAGGAGCAAAGGCTACATGCTCGACCGTCCTCGGTCAGGACATGCCGAGACGCGAAGCGAGCAGCTATCGTCGGGGCGGGCGGCGGACGCCGCTCGACAGGAGGAGGGGGAGGAGGAGGTGGAGGGACAGGCGCAGCACCCTGGCGCTGCTGACTCGCCCGAGCGCGTGCAGTGCTGAGGCGCTCTGTCTGAAGCACCTCGAGAGCGACACGCAAGAGCCTCCTCCTCCTCACGGCTGGCCTCGAACTCGGCCAGCTTCTTCGCACGATGACGGCCCTCGACGGGAGCCCTGGCGCGGCTGGCCGCACCCGCGAGCTCATCGACTGCCGCGTTGCCCTGGATGAGCCAGCTGGGCAGCCGCCTGCGCACAACCTCCTCGCCCTCCAGGTGGGAGGGGACTCGGAGGACGATGATGCGTGAGTGATCGCGCCCCTGGGCCGCCAGCGAGGCTCCCATGGCGCGCCACAGGTCGGCATGGAGTCCAGCTGATGACATGGCCAGACCCTCCCACCATCCTCTGCACACCTCCTCGCAGTCCGTCACGCAGATGACCCAGCCTCGCGACCAGCGAATCGTGACCTCGAGGGCCGCGATCTCGCCTCGAGGAACCGATTGGCTCCTCCCTGCCAGCGGCCCCAGCACGTAGGGCCCCAGCCTCACGGGCGCGAAGTCGGTGATGACGGTCATGGCCACCCCGCCGCGCCTCAGACGAACGTCCATGGTGTCCGCCCTTCCTGAGGCGTCGCCAAACACCAGCAGCGGGGTGTCCTCCGAACCCTCGCCCAGGCAGCCTGGCGCCAGGTGCCCGTCGATGTTGCCCGTGACCCACTGCTCGATGTCTGGCGGCCCTGCCACGCGTGTCCAATCGGCGTGGATCACGCCCCGCATCCAGAAACAAGCGTGCGCCTCCTGCTCCGCGGCAGCCTCAGGGAAGTAGCCCTGGGACTCGGGAACCCTTGCTGCTCTCGCATGCCCAGCAGCGATGGGCAGCTGCCTCGATCTGATGCCCGCAGCCCTCGCATTCGGTCGGCTGACGAAGCCCTGCCTCCTGCTTCCGAAGGTTGGTCCACGTGCTGCCCGCGGCGATAGAGACCATCAGCTCAGCGAGTTGACGGCCTTCGCGAACGAACTGCAACTCATGAGTACACTTGCGAAGACTGAAAATGTCTGCACCCTCCCCGGGCCCGCCGCCGCAAGCATGCTCCATTGCCGTCTGATGATGGATTTCTCCGAATCATCCGGAAGCGGGGCCGCCTGATTCAACGCAAAGAACTGATCAGTACCAAACTTCCAGTAAGACTTGTCATCGACGATGTCATTCGGCGTGTCCCATTATGTGGCAGTGATGGGGTTGCACCCCGCAGACAACAAATAGTACTGACAGCAGAAACAGGTCCGCGAACATGTCGAGCACGGTCGGCCTCCGCAAGACAACTCAACTGATGATTAATCCGTGGCCACACGCGCTGAACAGTTGGGCTGATCCGAGGCTTTCCGAGCCACCATTGCTGCACACACTGGCGGGGCAAGACCGAACCTGGGTCTCCGTCTTGCACGCGGATGGCCAGCAGCGTTGCGGTGCAGCGGCCGCGGCGCATAGCTCCAGGCGCTCCATCAGCTTCTTCTTGAGGTCGGCAGCCCAGGTCTTCCAGTGACGGATCTCCTCGGCCTTGGGCGTGAAGTTGGCTTTGGCCTGCTGCAGATGTACCTCGAACTGCTTCATGAGCTTCTGCTCCTCCTCAGAACACTCCATGCCATCGACGTCGAAGATGCTGGCGTCCCAACTCGGGTCGATGAGAGGAGGCCCTTCGCCGCTGCCACAGTTGCCGTTGGCTGCTGGGCCTCCTCCTGCACCGTCCTGCTGCGCTGGCGAGGCGGCCGACTGCGCGACGCCCGCTTCGCGGGCGAGCGTCCGCGCGGCCGCTCTCCTGCTGATGGTGGCCGCGGCTGGCGCTCTCGCCTCCGCCTCGCGCTGCTGGGCGAGGAGGAGGAGGAGGAGGAGGAGGAGGAGGAGGAGGAGGAGGAGGAGGAGGAGGAGGAGGAGGAGGAGGAGGAGGAGGCGACACCGACCAACTGCGGCTGCTGGCTGCTGCTGCAGCCGCGGGGGGGGGAGACCGGTCGGGCGCC